ACTAGCCGACAGCGGCGCGCTCGCTCGATGAGTTCGATAATTCCTCCTTGGTGCCGCCGGGGGGCCCGTCGCCGCCTCCACCACCACATGATGCACGGGATTGCGATGTTGATGTTGATGATGTGTCCTTGTCGCCGCCTCCGGATGACGGGCCCGACGACGGGCCGACTGATGGCGGTGATAATCATGACAATGGTGTTTCTTCCAGCCGTCTCGTGCCCTTGCCAACGCAGAGACTTTGCAAGCATTCATGGCAGATGAAACCGCAGCATATTCACCTGAAGACGCCGCTTGCGTGTCAGATGACTCTGGACGAAGCTCTGTGCTGGACGACGAAAAATCCTCACCAAAGGATGGTGGTGACACGGACTCTGAGCCGGGAGGAGGGTTTGTATCTCCGGAGTGGGCTCTGGAACCTCTTGCGGAGCCTCATGTGGATGGACACCGTCGTCGCCCCCACGCTCCTCCCGCGGAAAAGTAATGTATTTGTGCGCTGGGGCATCAGATGGGGTTGTTTGGCGGCTCCTCTCACGCACGAGGCCACGCTGTTCGTCCGGCGTGGTAGGCGCACCGGTGTCCAACCGGGGCGGCGCTTCACCAGATTCATGTATGGAGGGGGTCGAAGCCCGGTCCGAAGGGATGGCCTTGTTACAAAGAACATTGAACCGTGGGATCCTTTGTATGATTGTCCTGCAGCTAATAAAACCAAGCTGGGTGAGATCAGCAATCCGGCATCGAATAATGTTCTGGACATGGCATCCCTGGATGAGTGGGATGCTGTTCGTGCAAGGGACCCATCGGCTGAAATCGTTGGCGGGAAAATGCTGATAGGCATTAAGGACTACGAAGAGCTCGGACAGTCCAGCCTAGATGATGCAAACTGGAGGGCCAGGCTTGCGTGCATCGGAAATTTCATTCGCAATGCTGTCGGGCATGTTGTATGGTCGGTTGACAGCATGTATGCCGCGCCGGTTGATCTTCACAATGCTCGGCTTGTAGTGTGCTTCGGTGCCAAGCGTGGTTGTGTGTTGCAAGCAGATGTGAAATCTGCTTATTTGCAGGCCTTGCTGGGCGGCAACGTCACGAGGTTGAAAATTCCGAAGCCTTTGCTACATCTCTGCCCACCTTCGTTTGCAATTGCTCAAGCATAATTGGCAGCCGATTGCCAATCAGAAGGGATTGTGGTTGTCACCAGACAAAACCTGCATTATGGCCGTATATGTGGACGATGTACCTTTTGGGGGCGAGCCCAAGCAAGCAACCAAGCACATGCGTAGCCTAATGGGTTTAAATAACTTGGGAAAGGTTCAAACCATAGATCGGTTTTGAGGGACTTCGTACCGCTTGAACTTTGCTTCGCATCAGACTGTGACCGTCACAGTTGCCCAGCCGGCATATGCAGCAATGCTGTTGCAGCGTTGCAAAACGGCACGCGCCATCAAAGGTTCCCTGAAAAGGGTTGACACACCCATGACGGATGAGGATCTTGAATCCGAGTACGGTCACTTGCCTTCCAA